CCATGTAGGAACAAAGTGACCTAATGACAGTGACATGTTTAATGGGTTAAAGAGACAGTCCCATGTAGGAGCAAAGTGACCTAATGACAGCGACATGTTTAATGGGTTAAAGGAACAGTCCCATGTAGGAGCAAAGTGATCTAATGACAGCGACATGTTTAATGGGTTAAAGGGACAGTCCCATGTAGGAGCAAAGTGACCTAATGGCAGTGACATGTTTAATGGGTTAAAGGGACAGTCCCATGTAGGAACAAAGTGACCTAATGGCAGTGACATGTTTAATGGGTTAAAGGGACAGTCCCATGTAGGAGCAAAGTGACCTAATGACAGTGACATGTTTAATGGGTTAAAGGGACAGTCCCAAGTAGGAGCAAAGCACCTGGCAGCGACACGTTTAATGGGTTAAAGGGACAGTCCCATGTAGGAGCAAAGTGACCTAATGACAGCGACATGTTTAATGGGTTAAAGGGACAGTCCCATGTAGGAGCAAAGTGACCTAATGACAGTGATATATTTAATGGGTTAAAGGGACAGTCCCATGTAGGAGCAAAGTGACCTAATGACAGTGACATGTTTAATGGGTTAAAGGGACAGTCCCATGTAGGAGCAAAGTAATGACAGTGACATGTTTAATGGGTTAAAGGGACAGTCCCATGAAGGAGCAAAGTGACCTAATGACAGTGACATGTTTAATGGGTTAAAGGGACAGTCCCATGTAGGAACAAAGTGACCTAATGACAGCGACATGTTTAATGGGTTAAAGGGACAGTCCCATGTAGGAACAAAGTGACCTAATGACAGTGACATGTTTAATGAGTTAAAGGGACAGTCCCATGTAGGGCAAAAGTGACCTATGACAGCGGCCACGTTTAATGAGTTGAGGACAGTCCCATGTAGGAGCAAAAGTGACCTGTGGCTTGGCATGTTTGTGGGTTAAAAGGACAGTCCCATGTAGGAGCAAAGTGACCTAATGACAGTGACATGTTTAATGGGTTAAAGGAACAGTCCCATGTAGGAGCAAAGTGACCTAATGACAGTGACATGTTTAATGGGTTAAAGGGACAGTCCCATGTAGGAGCAAAGTGACCTAATGACAGCGACATTTTTAATGGGTTAAAGGGACTGTCCCATGTAGGAGCAGTGACCTAATGACAGTGACATGTTTAATGGGTTAAAGGGACTGTCCCATGTAGGAGCAGTGACCTAATATTTGGTGGCATGTTTTAATGGGTTAAAGGACAGTCCCATGGCGAGGAGCAAAGTGACCTTGGCAGCGACATGTTTAGTGATTTAAGGACAGTCCCATGCTTAGAAACAAAGTGACTATGGCAGTGACATGTTTAATGAGTTCAAGGACGGTCCCATGCTTAGGAGCAAGAAGTGACCTAATGACAGCGACATGTTTATGGAGTTGGAGACAGTCCCATGGCAAGGAGCAAAGTGACCTAATGACAGCGACATGTTTAATGGGTTAAAGGGACAGTCCCATGTAGGAGCAAAGTGACCTAATGACAGCGACATATTTAATGGGTTAAAGGGACAGTCCCATGTAGGAGCAAAGTGACCTAATGACAGTGACATGTTTAATGGGTTAAAGGGACAGTCCCATGTAGGAACAAAGTGACCTAATGGCAGCGACATGTTTAATGGGTTAAAGGGACAGTCCATGTAGGAACAAAGTGACCTATTGACCGTGACATGTTTAATGGGCTATTGGGACGTCCACTTTAGAGACAAAGTGATCTAATGACAGCGACATGTTTAATCGGTTAAAGGGACAGTCCCAGGTAGGAGCAAAGTGATCTAATGACAGTGACATGTTTAATGGGTTAAAGGAACAGTCCCATGTAGGAGCAAAGTGACCTAATGACAGCGACATGTTTAATGGGTTAAAGGAACAGTCCCATGTAGGAGCAAAGTGACCTAATGACAGCGACATGTTTAATGGGTTAAAGGGACAGTCCCATGTAGGAGCAAAGTGACCTAATGACAGCGACATGGTTAATGGGTTAAAGGGACAGTCCTGTGTAAATGATACATGACACCCCCTCTTTCAATACTTGGATAGTTACAGTTATACATTTTAATTAACATGTCAATTGGAGCAGCTAAGATCTGTTTGTGTTGGTTGCACTATTTCTTTAGTTTATAATCTAAGTACAATGCTGAAATTGAATGCACCTCATTCAGATCCATTGAGGCGTATGGAAAATCAATAAGCTGGGTAGTAACTTGGTGATTTGGCGAGCTTCACTCATCCCCTGCTGCCAGAACTTGCTAATGAGCTAAAGTATACTCTGCGCAGACCGCGGGAATCTCAGGTGCTTCCTCTCCTAGCTAACGATCTCCCTTAGGTATTAAAAATGAGAAAAGCAGGACGAGACAGAAAAGGGCAAGATTTTACTTCTTGCCAAAAAACTGAGTGGGTTTAGAAGTGATTTAGTTTGAAAGGAGGCCTAAGAGACAAACCGTGTAAAATCTATTAAGGAGGAAATGGCTTTATATCCGAGAATCTCCTGATAAAACCACAACTCTTTCTTAAGATTATAGGTACAATACGTTAGCATAATCTACAATTTTACCACATAACAGGAGCGTTTCCAACACTAAGGAAGTAGAGCAAGAGAAGTGTAAGCAGAAGGTCGAAAGTAAAAGACCCAAATGGCACCTTCGCAAGAGCAATCCATCAAATGCATAATATCGGCAAGAGAGGCGTTTGATGAAAAAACTTGCGACGCAGCCACGCCGCGTATAGAATGCGCACTGAAGCAAGAGTTGGACCCTGCCAGCAATAGAAGTCAGAGAACTCTTGCTAGTGTTTTGTACATATAAGATGAGTAGATGTCCAGTTTTAGCACGACGCAGCGGAGCAGTAATCTCCCAATAAACATAGTGAACTAATGTCTTAACAACACAGAGTTGTGGAGCTGTAGGAAAAACGGATAGAAAACAGTAGCATAATCGATCTAGTACAATGCAAAACTGAAAAAGAAACCCCGTCCAGTGTAAAGGTTAGACCATCCACGTCAAAAGGATACCAGACAAGGCAAAAGAGAAAATTTTGCTGAAAGTTAACATAAAGAGAGCTACAATCCCGATGAAAAACGATGGACCACCTCGACAACCCAAAGACGTGAATATTCGGTGGCAGGGAACGTGACAACTGAATACCCCAAAGAAGTTGACAAATTAGAGGTGTAGATGTCCTTGGTAATTTCCGACAGTGCTAGTAAGCGGGCTCCGTCCAGTCACTTAGTGTATTGAACTGTCGAAATGATGTCCATTCGTAGCAGTATGCAACAGTCGGACATGTGTCGGGATAGACTACGGATGGCGTAGACTATGGATG